TTGTCTTGGACCGTTACCACGGCGGTAAAAAAAAAAAAAAAAAAAAATAGTCGTTCTACAACGTGGTGTACATCGAATGTTATTGTGTACCTATATTTTATACCCATCAGCTTGTGTCACACCTTACAGAACAGTCGCAACGGCATTGCACGAAACGCGTTTAATTATTTTTAAACAGCGGGCACAACAAACGTATCGTACAATAACGGACGAAGAAGCTCGTCTTCTTGTCGGTAATTGGTGTTGTGTTTTTTTTTCTTTCCATCGAAATTAATCATTACCGTTTTTTAACGGAGTTCCAGTAGCGAATTATTTGTCAAACGAGAATCATCGACGGCGGTCACACCGCTCGTGCCGGTGTTTCTAATGAATATTTCTTTTTTTTTTTTATTTCCACAGACGGTACACAGCCACCACATATTTCGGTGTGACTAATTATTAAAAAAAAAAAAAAAACAATTACACACACAGCCGGGTAAATAGTAACATCTACTTCGCCGTTTGAGAGTCACGGTTTTGGCGACCGACGAGCACTTCTTCTCTTCGCCTACCCTTTATAATGTGTTGAGTCGACAAGTCGTTCTGACAATTGGATTTCACGACATTCGACCGATTACGTTACATTAGTGTACTATATGTTGTTTAATAGCTCTTTAATGGCACATTAACGGCCCCGACCGTTGACGACGTGACACCTATTATTATTATTTATATACACCACTCGACAATATTATTATTAATTACCGCGTTTACCATAATATTGTCATGTATTTCAACGCTTCGGAATAATACGGTCTATATTATAATGACTAGTACACACACTACCCTAAATATTCGGGTATACCATAGGTTCGTTCAATTAAAAAAAAAAAAAAAAAAACGTTGTCCTTCGAATACAATATAATAGACTGTACGGTATAGTAAGAATATCTATAATCACACGTTATGTACTGTTAAGACGAGAAATCATTTTTAAGATAATTTCCAAGAAAATAGGTTACGCAATTAAAAGTATTCTACAAATCGTGAAATAGAATATATTATTAAGTTTTTATTTTTCTATCATCACCAAATGACATCTCTTGTAGTAACCCAGTCCGGACGGTAAAACGGATGAACAAAAGACTGTTTGTAGTATTGAATAATTAATTATTACACTTAAATATACGATTTAGGTAATTATAAGGCGTGATTCACACTTATCACAATATAATAATAATCTGATCACAGGTAAGCACAATTAGAAATATTATAGACTAACACTACATATTATATCCGTTACCCGTGACCTTTACACTCCTAATAACGTCAAACTTTGTTGTAACTGTAACTTAACTATTATATTTCATGCTTTACTGCTTGTATTGTCTTTGATTTTTTTTCTTTTTAATAGTTAGTAAGATCTCACTACTTTAAGTATGTAATTACTATTTAGTTATATACTACTTACTATTTGTAAATTTAGCTAAATTTACAATTTTTTTATCGTAATTACTCATTTTTATTTCTATTCGTTTTTCAAGAATATTAATTTAATTTATACAACGTGGAATGAAAAGTAAGATTTAACTTTAAGTTTCAAAATATCTAAATTCGGACTTGCTTATAAAACTATCTCTAGACATGATGCCATTGCTCGATTGTAAACATTGTTCGTTCATCGTAGACTGTAGTGATATTATTATAAGTTATAACACTCTTAAATAAATACTAAATATGTTTGAAAATGTTTGTTATTCAATTTTAAACACATTTGTTTCTCACATGTTACTCATGTCATGTCATGTCATGTCATTACACGAGTAGCAAAATGTGTTTGATAAATGATGTAATATAATAAGAAAAATTATTTGTATTCTAAAAGAAACGTGATACTTTCTTCAGTTACATCAAACGTCTAAACGTTACAATTTTTTTCATAACATGACAATAGTGTTATTGAACGTGGCAAATTTCAATTGCCTTTTTGGACAAAAATCACATCAAAAGAATCAAGTTCAACAATAATGAATAGGAAAAATGGTTGTATAATGTCACTGAATTTCCTAAAGATATTGTTTAGTTTTTAGCGGTAATCTCAAGATTTAAACACTAACTAGATATAAAAATATAACAAAGTAAGTTTTTACTACAGTCTACATGTTTAAATGAAAATATAATCGGATTGTTGATGATTATTCATTAGCATTAATTAGCAATAAAGTTAAAAATAAAATTGTACATTTACATTGTAAAATTATAAATATTACTTAAACCAGTAAATATTTAAATAAGTATTATACATTTTAAAATAATATACAATAACAATAATCCGCAGATGGGGTCATTTCTACGTCATCAGAAACACAAAATTATTATCATAGTACCATTTTATAGTTTTAAAGGGGTCAAATGAGTTTCATTGATAACTCAATTTAATACTGAATCGAAGTTAATTTAAATGTTGACATTTTATTGCAATACAAGTAATAGTGTTTCAATTCTTAATTTAATTTTTAATTATGTAATCAATTTATGGTAATTGATTATTATTTTTTAGTGTAACACGTCTTAACCTTCATCCCAAATGGAAACTACTAACGTGACGGAGTTATAAAAAATTAACTAACATTTGTTTGTTTTGTAGCTTGTTTACGTTGGATTAACCATTTCATTAATATCATAAATAATTTTCTTCTATTATGTCCTCTAAATAACCTTGTACAATAATTATTCTTTTAGGTGTCATAAATGAAGGACTGCCTTATTTTATGAAACTTGTACAACTAAATAATTTTTTTCCCAGAATTCAGTGTTTTAGTTAACAAAAATAAATCAACCAAACAGTTATATAGTGACAAAAAACATATTAATATGATTAAAAACATTTTACCAATAATTAAAAAAAAAATCACAATTCACTAACAAAATTTAATGACATATATGATATTGAACCTAAAAAAGAATATATTATGAAAAATTATAAATTGTGAGATAATACATAGCAAAAATTATATTGCAATGATGTCGAAGGAACCAATGGTTTTAAAGTGATAACTATTATTACTACGTACCATTTTTAAACTTAAAAGTGAATAAAAAAATGTTTTTACAAAACCAGTCAACACTTTTATGTTAATCTATGTTAATATTACATAGATTAATAATAATATGTAATGAATACTAAATGAATGTTTTCTTTTAAAAGCTTACCGGAAAATCGTGTTTTGTAAGAAACCTCTTCTGTAAAATGTATATTAAGTTACATGTACATTATTACTGAATGTTTCTCGTAAAACGCAATTTTTTAGTACGGTGTTTTATAGGCGATTTCAGCTGTATAATCTTGATATTAAATTTAATTATTAATTATTATAAATAAGTAATGATTATAGTACACCGTAAAATAATTATAGATATTTACCGTTTTTTCTTTAACTCCAATTTTCGCTATGTTGACTTCTAAGCAGTGGTATGTTTATTTATTTTTTGTAGTTAAGTGTCCATATTTTATGAATATAATATTACTTTTAAGTGTATCTGTATTCTAACTTTTTTAAAAAGGCCAAGGGGGATATCTATTCCCCATAAGAGGGACCTTATAAATACACCACTGCTTCTAGTGGGCTATTTTTTTTTTGTATGGCATATACATTAAAAAATGTTTAAACGTTAGTTATACTTTAAGTTCGATTTGACGTTTTTCAACATTAATAATGTGATAAAATTAAAAATTGAAAAAATATCCTTTATATTGGAAGATAATTATTTTCAGTACAATATTTTATGATCAAGTTGAATTTCCTAATCTGTCTTAATGACATACCAATTATTTGAACTTTTATTGTTAACATACTATGACGGCAATGCGATTTAATTTTTTATCGTATAACGCTCAAATAATTAGTTATTTCCCTTCTGTCTAGTCATTAAATTATTTGTGAACTATGATAAAACAAAAAAAAAAAAATGTTTAAGTTATAACTTAAGTACTAAAACAGAAGCAAACTTACAATCCATCTCACAATCTTAGCAATCATATATACCATTATTGTTGTACGGCGCCAGCAAGTTAAGCAGACATTCATGTATCCAAATTGCATAACCAGAGCGCCTTTATACTACACTAATTTCGTTCATTATTTCCAGAAACCTAAAAGAATGAAACACAGAATAATAATCTATAGTACGAGTAGTGTCCTTATCTAAGCCGTGAATTATATTTTTTCGAAGAGAAAAAAATGTGTAACATAATAATTGTCCAATTTTGGAAAACAAGAAATATTGGATTTTTTTTCAATTGGAAAGTAAAATATAATTTTTGCCCAGAACTTTTTAGATACTTGTTGTCTGTCGATTCGTACACTCACAGCAAACTGACATTTTTTACACAGCACGAGTGATTTTTCACTTTATTGGTTCATCCGTTCATAAATAAAAAAGTTCAAATACAATTTTCAGACATGAAGTTCTAAAACTACACCTAAAAAAGCGAAATAAAAATGCTATATTTTCTGGAGAAAAGAATTAATAATATTTTCTTTACTATACATTGATAGTACTAGACCTAAACAATTTCCTATGCAAATTTTAAAGTAAATATTTTAAAAAAGTATTCGCAGTACTGTAGTTTAAGATAAACCATGTTTAGGGTGTTTTTCTGGATTTTGAAGAGCGAGAGGGAACTTTTTAAAATTGTATAGCACATTTAGGTACTATGTATAGTAACTTTTAAGTATGATTTCTGTTATTAAGACTTGCTACACAAATAAATTGGCTTAGTAATTGATAAGATTTCGTGGGCTCAGACAAATGAAAGAAATCAATAACACATTGTAAAACTAATTTTCTGAGCTTTGCATCGTAGCTAAAATACAATACTTGTTGCCATTAAAAATCAATAAAACAATATGCGTTTGATGATAAAGATGGTAAACGTAACCAGGTACGTCACGTGTAAATACATTATGATGACCTGGCATTGGTACACGAAAAATAAATAATAAAAATAAATATTACAGGCGCAATGTTCGTTTTATTAAAAATAAAATATAATTCGTAAGTTTAATCTAAAAAAAAAATACATTATACACACAGTTATATACATTACGGGCTGTAAATTACAGCGGTCTTTGTATATAATATTAATATGGTAAAAGTTATAATGTAAACTATAATAAAACAAAAAAACCTTATCGCGTAGGCCGTGGGGGGCAAATCCGCTAAAAGACAATAATTATTATCATTAAGTAAGTAAGATAGCGGTAGTAGAAGTCTTCGATGGCGGTGGAGAGAGGGGAGGGAAGGAGGGTTAACAATATTAAACTTCCACGGTGCCCGCGTACAAAACTAATAGGTACAAAAAATAAACAGTCGGCACTAGTTACGCGTACTAAACCTATATTATAACTTAAAAAAAAAAAAAAATTGACAACAAAATGTATTCTAAAAATTTCAAACATACAATATATAAAAGTTACATTTTTTTTTTAAAAAAAAAAAATACTCGAAGGAAAAATTAACGCGTGACAACGTGCTGGTAAAAAAAATAAAAACAAAATATTGCAATGGTTATGAACGGTCGTCGTCATCGCCATTGTTCGGCGTTACCGACGACGACAGCCGAAAACATTAAAAAAGCGCATACATTAAATAATATCAAGTTATAATTTAAAAATAGCCGACAATATGCAGACACACAAACATCACCGTCGTCGGTTGTTGCTTGACGGCAAAATGGCAAACAAATTATGTAAAAGTAAAGTAAAGTGGGTACAGACCGAAGTGAGAAGGATTGCAGTTACTGTAACTTGTATGTTGGAATGTATATATATATATATATATATATATATATTATATTGTATGTATTAATGTAATATCATAGCGTTGTTCGCGAGGAGACTTGGCGATCATACTCGGGATTCCAGAGCCCAGGGAGTCCGGCCTCCTCCCGCCTCTCTGGCCACGACCACAGCGTCGTTGCCGTTGAGCCTCAACGATGACAACGACGAGGCCAGACAAGAATTGCTGAAGCTACCGTATGTGGACCCGTACCTGTGAAACGAGCCGGTCGGCGTGGTCTTGTAAGGATGACCGTTGATAGTGTACACAACAGGAGTTTTGCTGTTCGGTCCATTGATCCTGTCGGGCGTGTCTCCTCGGCCGGCAAATCCAACGGTAGAGTCACTCAACTGGGGTCCCTTGGCCTGAGGCCTCTTCTCGGTGAACACAAACCCTAACAGCGCCATGCCCTGTGTATAAAGGAAAAGTTAAAACAAAGCATGTTATTGGTTTGTGGACGGCCGAAAACTTTTCCTACGACCCGATCATAAGCTATTTTTTTTTTTTTTTTGGCAAGTCCTATTTTGAAGACCATAACCAATAGAATATATTTTTTGACCACGTCGAATTGTACTTACCAATACAGCGTGCAAGAAAATTTCGAAATACGTTCCTTGTTCGAATCCGACTAAATCGAATAAGACGCCAGCGATGGAAGGACCCAAGAAAGCCCCCAGAGCGAACGACGAAGACCATATACCCGACAAGAGGCCGTAAGTGTGTATGTCATTAGCAAAACCGCTATTGCTGTAAAAATAATATATATATATATATATATATATTCATTATATAGTCATTCTGTAAATATATTAAAGTTATTACAGAAAACTGATGTACTTACAATGCAGCTGTCATAGAATCAACAAAGGTAGGTACACAAATACACCCAAGAGCAAATCCTTGTATTATCAGACCAAAAACGACTAGAAGCATTGATCTGAAATAAACCATTTACATTAATTTAATCACATCTAGTACTTGATAAAAACAAACACTATAAGGTATTTACATAAATCAATAAATATAATATCATATTTAACCGAGTCTAAGCCGAACATACAAGTTGTTCAAATCGAAGAGATCTAAATATATTTTTATCTTCGAGATTTTAACCTTTCATTGGATATAGACACGTGTTTTATTCAAATATTTTTAAAAAAAAGTAATTATTTATATAAAATATATAATGGCTGTCTGACACCAATACATCAATATTCTAGTTAGGTCAAAATATGCGCCATTCAAAAGGCCTGAATATAATCTTATCAATTCCTAAAAATAACTTCCTTATAATTAATTTTTTTATTGTACGCCCACTTCGATAATCTTTAATTAGTAATTTACGTTTTGGATTTTAGTCTTGTGTTTTATATTACGTTATCAATATTTTAGATGCATTTTTTTTATGCTAAAAAATTTAATAGGTAAGAAAATTATAAATTAATTTGGGCCGCACTTATATCCTATCGACCTCTAAACAATCTACACACAGTATAATTATTTTTCATGGTGCCTAATGATTCATTCTTTGTACGAATTATTTTGTTCTTAATTATCAGATTTACCCGTGATGCTTTATTGTAAAAAAAAAAATCATTAAAATTTTAATAGACCAACATATTGTTAAAAAACTGCGCAATAATCATAGATTTATCGTTACAACGCAAATAAAAAAATTCGCTAAAATCTAAAAAGCTCATACTGATTTTATGAACATTAACTATGCCTATAATAACTTATCCCTAATTACTATAACGATAATTCGCCAGGGATTAGTTTTTAACTAGCAAACAGACAATATAACATTTATATAGTTTAAGATCAGATCGATTAAACTTATTTTTTCAAGCATCAATCTATAAAATTCATTTCTAATAAATAATAGGTATATGCTATTTATCATTTATAATCGACGTTAAAGGTACTTTAACGGGGCAAAAATTAAAAAAGTTCACCCTTCCATTTAAAAGTCAAGAAGAAACTCATTACTTAAACATTAACAAAATTACTTATTTTTCAATATAAAACTATGACGCGATATGTTTTTTTTTTTAATAGTCAAATAAGTGCCAAATTTATTTAGACAATTCTTTATACCGTTCTATCAGTATGGAAACTTTTTCTTTAATTCTAAATATTAGGTTCAATGTATAACTAGTGTTGAGTTACAGCATAATACAATTTTCTGAAAAACCTGTAGTTGATTGTTTTATTAAGAAAAACAAAAAAGAGTAAATTACACTTTGGATTTAATAAATATCCAAGGGGCTTTCCAGGGGAGAACCGATCAATAAAGTCAACAGGTAAATATCAGGAAAGTTTTTTTAAGCTGGTTTGGTCAAAATTCTGATTTACCTACTATTTTATTAATTATTGTTTCTAATAAGAATGTAGAAATGCCGAAAAGGAAAAGTTGTTTTCATGTTAGAACCGTTTAATCAAAAGTTATTCGAACAACTTTTATACGTTTTTTTTTTGTTGTAGACAAGTCTTTAATTCGAAATAAAACACGAAGTAACTAAGAAAAGTGTGAATTTAATCAACATTATTTTCTGCATTTTCTATTGTGCTATTTAATTAAGCCCATAAAAGTAAGTTAATTTTCTTAGTAAGTAAATTTTCGAATAAAATAATGATTTACACCATTTTTACTTTTGACGAGCTCGTTTTAAATTCGATAAGAATACACTGTATTATAAAAATAAATAGATAATAAGTAGAAATCTATACGCGCTAAAGGTTAATGCTAGGTCTGCTATTTTACGAAATCAAATAATTTTGATACATATAGCGTGCTAATTAATTCAACGTATACTACACCGTAAACTCGGAACTCGATCTACTTGTTCAATTAAAAATAAGTATATATTTATTTTTAATTAACAAAATGGTTTAATAAACGTATGTTGCGCTTTATGTAAATAACTAATCCAATTACACGATTAAACGTTCGTTTTAGGTAATTAAAACGTGGTAACGGCGCACTGTCACACTCTTGCCGGCGTATTACAGCCAATTAAAGGAACGTTAATATCGAAATCTTTCCGTTTAGATTTGAATAAGTCTACGATTTCTGAATACCGTCGAACGACTGCGAATTAAAGAGCGTTTTCCCTTCGTTATTTATGCGGTGTATCTGTACGGATCAGAAACCGTTCGACGAATGTACCGTTTCCTTATATTTAGCCGTGTTAACGTACCTACAAAGTTCCTAGGCAAACACCGCTGTTACATAAAAATGACCAAATTAAAGTCTAAATAGTGGTGTTTTTTTTTTTTTTTTAGTACTTCTCTAAGGGCATGAACGGTGCGGGTCCGACGATCGAGTAGCTGATGACCGTCAAAATCGTGCCGAAAATCATGATCTTCTTCGGGTTGGCACCGGTATCGCACACATATCCGATCACTGGCGCTACCAAAGCGTAGGTGCCCCCGGAGATGATAAACACGAATCCGACGTCTATGGGCGAAAGTCCAAACTGCACAACACATGCATACAACGTTAATGTAATAAATTAAAACTTATGCACATGATGTAGCACAATTTATGTGTTTGTTATGGGAATGTGTGTGTGTGTGTGTGTATTTAGTAGCGCAGTATGGGCGCGGCCGTTTACAATTTACAAATATATAAAATTTAATTAATATATATATTATATTATACCGTACAGGTACGGCCTACAGGTACAGTGTACACTTTGAACGCGGTTATTTTTAGCGCCAACTGGGAAATTTATTATCAATTGACATGACACGCATATACGCACACGTTACTGGCAATGCGCGAGATAACTCATCTAAAGGGCTGTGGTAAAAAAATGTGTGCGAATACATAATTGGACGATATTATAATAATGTACCGTTAAACACGTTTGGCCGAATGCACATTGTATTATTTGGATTGCGCGGTACTCGCAATAATAAATACACAAAACGCTCGTGTGTCATTATAAATTGCACATAGGAAAACGAAAAAACCAAAGTCGAAAGTCCAGTGATTAAAAAATATTTTTCAAACTCAAACGGTTATGCTTTTCGCGTGTAATAAAAATTGTCTAACTGTTGTTGACCGTAGTCACGGACAAGGTCTCACATTTCGTTTTTAATAACAATCATAATATCTTATTCTATAAAAATGTATGCGTGTGTAAAATGCGGAATGCAATAATGTACTAACCGGCCCGCGCTAAACACACCTACGCTACGTGACACATTTGTTAAGAAATCACGTGAATCTCAAGAGACTTTGTTATAGCCTATAGCAGTTGGTAACGTACCGGTCGGATGTGAGGTTCCAGTGTGGCTGAATAGTATCCCATGGCTGTGGCTGTTATCACGGTGGCCACAGAATTAATGAATACAGTAGGAACTTTCATCAGTTGCGTTACTTTAGCTGTGGAAAACAATACAAACCTTTAACGCGGGTTCAGATATTTATAATTAAAAAAAAAACTTATTCCAACTCACTTTTCGCTCTGTTTGGACTGGGCACGTCTTGTTTCATTATTAAGCACACTAGTAGAGAAGTGCCGAGCGTTATGAGTCCCATAACAATGAATGGAAGAGGAAATCCTCCGGCCTGACAACATCACAATAAATTATTACGTTTTTCTTTAACCGAAAGACATTTTTTTTTAAACTCACTTCGAACAAAAGGGCGCCAAGCGTCGGACCGACAATATATCCCATACCGTAAAACACTTCAAGAGCAGACTGTAAAATTAAAATATGTAAATGACCATTTTGTTTTATGTAAAAGCAATTATCAACTATCAATTTTTTTCACTAAAATATATTTGTATAAGTGCAACTGTCCCCTTTGCCGTAGTCGATACGTAATGGAATACCATTCTTGTAGAGACTAAAGCTTCTTTTTGTAAACATAATAAGTAACGATAAGTATCGTTTTTACTTTTATATATCACGTTTAATAAATAAATTGGTCAAGCAACAACATACAAACACATTACATCATTTTATTTTATTACTGAGGCGTTAGAAAGTGAAATTTTAATGAAATTCTGAGGCAGATATCACAACGATTTTGTACAAAAATAGAAGAAACAAGGTCACACGAAAGCGTTTTAAGTCGGTAAAGGTTACAAGTCAATGCTATAACATAATGCGCTTTCTTAAAGGAGGAACTTTCTATGAAATAAGTTTCACGCAAAACCTGGTGTTAGAGCAGGCTTAGCTAGCTGTTCTCCAATATGACTTGTCAGATACTCTAGATAAGATATTTTTTACAAATGTTGTATGACGTCTAGAGAGACTGAACTCGCAACAAAATTTGGATAAATCTAAAATTAATTTTATTATAGGGAATAGCCGAGTCAACCTGCTCAAAACTTATTTTTCAATCTGGATTTTCTTTTTGTTGTTCGATGGAAACCATTCGAGTATTATAAACCGAATAAAAGGTAATAGTCGGGCTTTTCAATGTCCGTTTGAATACAAATCCCTAAAGATTGGACGGTATAATATTCTGTGACATTTTTTATCACACCCGACCTCATGAGTCACGGCCCCGACTACGGCCATTAAATATTTAAAATCAATGCGGATGTGTACATAAAATATGAGTATTACATATATCAATATATTATAGCAAACTGAAACGCACAACTTTGCTGGCTGAACTTATTATTATAGGTATAATGTACTTACAAATGTGCTGGCTACGGATTCAGGAAAGGTGACAGCTGTCAACGAGAAAGCAGCCACCATAGCACCGGTGGCGCCTAGCGATTCCAATATCCTAAGGAACAGCGATAGTATCAGGAACAGATTGCGGCTCTCGATGTAAGTCAGATACCTGCGAACAACTTTTCGTTAGAGACGTCGCACCTCCGAAAATAGCAATTGAAATAAAGTTTAAACGTTTCGACTTTACCCGAAAGCTATGGTGGAAACGGCATTCAGCACGATGCCCAAGACCAATAAGTGTTTTAGCCCGACCTTTTGAATCTGTGAAAACAGAAACGATAACGTCAAACCAGTATTGTTAAATAAGTTATATTATGCTGTTATAGACTGTATATATATATATATGTCTTTTAAACTTTATTTTACACTATTTTCGAACTGGCTCGGCGCGTGGAAACAGTAATTGAAATCGGACCGATTATTAAATTTATTATTTATCTTTAACGTCATCCGTTTATGGGTTGCTGAAAGAAATGGCGTTTATTTTTTCAAGAAACGTTGATTTCCCAGCGGAACGCCTCGGACCTTTTATGTACATTTTAAAATAAAACTTAAGAAAACTACACTCGGACTTGATAATATAATTTTAACCGTAATGGCGCATTTTGTGGACGTCGCTGCACTTTGACGTGGCCATTTTAGACCTCTCGAGTATAACTATATTTATTATTTATAAGATAAAATTTAATATGAAGACATCGTTGAAAAACGAAATGGAGATAGGTATTGAAAAAATGAATTTATAACGCATACTTAGAAATTGTTTAAATTATAAATAGAATTTATTATGCAGTGTAATCAATTTTTGGTACGCGTAACGCGTACTTATTTAATGATTTATATATGAGGTGTCCGTTTTCAAAACCAGCTAAAAGCAATTTCTGAAAATTTTAACAAATAATTTCTTCGGATGTGCGATTTTGAAACCATCCACGACTTTCCCAACAAAGTTTGAGTTGGTTTAGTTCATTTTTATTTGATATTCAACACGTACCGTGTAATACAGTGTAGCCACTATCTTTTAGCTGGTTTTGAAACTAGAAGTATCATCTATAAATTTATTTAATTTATCGGCGCCAAAATGATCCAACCACGTAAAGTATATTTAAAGTCAAGTAGCGGCTACAAAATGTCTACGCCAAATTATTCTAGACTCCACTTCTGATTGTCACACGCAGACACGAGTAAATCATATTGGTATATTGATTTTTTTTTAATAATTTAATACTAACACATTCTTTACCCCGTCGGGCATTTAATATTACCTTTTTATAACCTTTTTGTTACTGTGATGCGGCGCGTGGGTAATTAAATACCAAATGACCCGTTTGAAAATTCTCTAAACGCCTAACGTGGTTTAACGACGACGTGCGGTACTTAAAAATAAATCAAATATTCAAAATGTTTTTTTATTCTTAAGATTTCAATGGCAAAACGAATCGTGAAGGACGCCACAATTGCTCGGAGTGATATAGCGACTGATAACCGTCGACGGCCATTTTGAGTATTTGGAATAGTTTTAAATGTTTATTTTTTTTTTGAATCCAGAATACTACAATCCCTCGGTACGTGTGTGTATGTGTAATAAGAAGAAATTAATCGTGTGGATTGCAGCTAGGTTGACATTGATACATGACAACACGTGGTTCACATTATAACTATATAGTATATAACATAATAGCTGACCAAACGTTTCTTTTTTAATTATGCCACTGCAACTACTGGACTGCGTTCGACATAATAATATTATATTATCAACGTAGGGAAAAAAAACTTACAATGATTTTAATCTCAACATTATACTTACCAAACCGCCAAAAATTGGCGATGTGATGAAAGCTATTAGTTCAAAACTTCCGAAAACAAGTCCGTATTCTGTCGCTGTGCACCCTTTTTTCTCAGCCTGAAAAATAATTATTAAATCGCCATTAGACATAAATTAAGATACTGCTGAGGGTTTCGACATTTATTTTTTTATCAGACACAATTTATACGTGTGCTTGAACATTAGACAGTGGTCCGGCAATATACATAATATGATTGCAACGGTTCAAACTTGAGTGTTCTGTTTATAATAATTTACAGATTACAGTAAACATACTAATAGTTTAAGTGTCTCCTGTCTTCAGAACAAGTAAGTTGAATAACCGGTATAGTGCAAATTACACTTGAGTATCTGTCATAATGTGACTACAAAAAAAATGTATTTAAAATTACGCATATATTGAGTAAGTGCATAAAGAAACAGGCAACGACATTACTACATGTAATCTGTAAATTAAAGGATTGTTGTTTGTTGTGAAACACAAGATAAACGCGAAAAATAATTATAATATTACTGCAAAATAAAAATGACTTGCATCATAAGTGCTGTACTTTTGATAACAAAATAGTGCTTTTTGTGTGCACTTAAGTAATAACTCAGCACGCACCCAAAACCATGCATGACAAATTCAAAGTTAACACTAGGTAAAGCAGATAATGTCTAATCACAGAGTATTCCATAAATTAATAAAAACAAATATTGTTACATAATATATGTGTATTTATATGTGCATATTTACTTGAAATATTTATTAGAAAATAATAAAAACAAGAGAATCTCTGCGACAACAGATTAAATATAAAAATAATTTAATAATCATAATTTATTTATCGGATTAAAGTAAAAATTTTAACTATTTAAGGATTTGTCATTTGTGTAACTTTTTATAGTCACATTTATTTATAGTCAAAGATCATCATAGTTTTGAAATATTAACTTTATTGTCAGAGTTGGAATAAATAAAATCCAAGTTTAAAGTTTATAATAATCATTTTTTATCTATATAGGAGTATACAGTCGCATAATCCCAAAAATACCCTACGCATAATTAAATGTTAAAAAAGGTTCACACTAAAAAAAATTAAACCGATTTTCATTTAGGGAAGAGAGCGGATAAACGGAGTAAATGTAAACGTGTTTTTTTCAATTAAAATAATCGCTCATTTAAAATTTATAGCTGAGAGCTTTTAATTTTAAGATATTAATTATTAGTACTAACATATTATACAAGTGAATAAAACACAATTATTTTAGGTTTATTCTAGAAGACAAATTACATTTACATAAACACACCGGTCATATTTTATTAAATCAATGTACTTTAATGTAATGTTTGACATTTATGAATTATAATAATTGGGCTTACAATCATGTCCTAATATGTTTTAAGTAAGAATTGTTTTTTAAAATTATGTAATGTTAATTGATTATGTTGAGGGTGCTAAACGTTTTTGTGTTATCTTTATAGGAAAAAAAGTGAAGGCAGAGCAGCCCATGTGCCTAGGGCCTCAAAATGGTTCAATTGGGCCCCCTCTGTGATGTTTTTATTTGTTACATGAAATGTAATATAATATGTTTTGTTATAAGGCACATAATTATTTTATTTTTTATAGTTTATAGTAGCTTTGTGTACACAGGCCTGTAGTAAATGTCAAGTAATATACTTATTTTAAACATGTTCTACTTTTCAAAATCAAATGTTATTAAAATTGTAAAAGCGCATGGTGTAATGTTTTTCCAATTTGCTGAATCGTGTAGAAAATTGAATGTATTCGACAAATTTGAATGATCGAATAAGCATAAAAAAAAACTTTTTTGATTAAGCTTTTGTAGACCGTCAAAATGGATTGCACATAAACAACGAACGATTGCTATTACACAATTATTGTTATTGAATGTTGTTTCAATAAAGAACAATAAAACAAATCTTTAACTCTAGTTTTTTTATCGACAAATAGCTGTGAACAGCGGTTGATTATATTTTATTCGTTTTTAATATAACAATAATTCTTATGAAACCAGCGTTGAAGCTAAAACGATAAATGTATCATAGATATCATCATATCAAATCGGTTACAAATGAACGCGGTGTCAGGCACGAGGACACAATAAATTAGTATTGTAATTCGCGCGCGAGACAAAAAAGTACATTTCCGTCGATTGCGGCGAGTAAGCATTTTGGGAAAATACACCTCGAACGTCCTATAACCGGCCCAAAGCTTTTAGAACACCATAAAATACCATAAAAATGTCAGAAAAAAACAGGTATCGTACGAGCGGGATGTGAATATAATATTATGAGAGACGTCCCCGTATACGTTTTTAGACCGGTATGTTTTTTTTTCTGTTTGGAAATATCTAATTGACATAATATAACGCTCACAGCGGGCACATCTCATTAGAGCACGCGCCAGGTTCACATGCATATACCACGTGTTAAGGGGAATCAACTCGCCTTCAGAGACAGGTGCGATATAAGCACTTAAATTCAAAATAATAACAATGCGCTTAAATGCACGGTGCACTATATGATTTTTTTTTTCGTATGCATCAAGTGCAAACAAAACGCTACAAAAATATTATTAAAACAGATAATTTACAAACAAGGTTGTTGCATTGCAGTATTATTATTATTATTATTATTATTAATTTGTTTTCCTATTGACACCTGTCTTCCGCGGTAGTTATGAAACACTTAAAGCCGCAATCGATACGACCGACTTTTACAAAAAGATCAATAAAAAAAAAAAAAAAAAATGATTTTTCTAGGTCACATTGGATAATATTCGCAAGTTAGCTGTTGGTAGACGTCATATTTTACTAGAGCGCGTCGAAATTTGTGCATAAATAAGTAAAATACTGTTGTCGTTATTATTGTTATTATTAGCTTTGATCGATAATAATAATTTAAACCGAGATTTGGTATTTCAAGCGACAATAGCTCAGTCCAAAAGTACCAAAATACGACACAATAAACGGTCGCGTTGACATTAACTGTGAACATTAAAACAATATTACTATATTTGCGCAAATCGAACGCGTAAACAACGAAATAATTATCATAATGCCGTTTATCACAATAATATCAGCTTGTGTACTATAATTAAGATAAACTACATCTGGGGAAACACGGGTTATTTGGAAAAATATCAGCCAACAATATACAAAAAAAAAACGGGAAAACTCATCGCCGGTGTAGTGCACAAAACATTTAACGTTAAAAGCTATTTCTAAGGTAAAATAATTGTATCGATGTGAACCAACAACGACGCGGGCGAGTCAAAATTAACACAAATAAGTTATTTAAATATACTCACTTCTTCCGGGTAGAAAGGCGCCTGTAAGGAAATGCATATGGCGCAGCAAAAGTGCACCGACCCGACCATGGCCAAGATCATCCATTCGGTGGCCGACAGCTTCATGGTGTCGTCTGAGCGTCCGTTTAACCCCTGTTGTGTTGTCCAATCTCGGCGGCGATGGGTCGGGGTGGACGCCGGCTGTGTTTTTTAATCTTTCTCTCTCTCTCTCTCTCTCTCTCTCTTATAGTATCTAGTCTGAGCACGTTTAATTAAATTGAATACATTTTAATAACTAAAAAAATATGGAGAAAATGTCGAGACAACCCGTAAGTATAGCGTGTCGAAAGAGCAAAAAAAAAAAAAACTACACTCTCAGACCACCGCCGAGGGCCTGTGGAAATGGAGCGCGTCGGTTTTTGAGCCGGCTGAACAGTCCAAACGGCGTCCGCACAAGTCTGACAACTGAACACCGGTCGGACCTCGTACAAGACACTAACCGTTATATTATTTATTATTAGAATTGTAATAATTGATTGTACACCAACACACACACACTCACAACAAGACTAGAATATTATTACAGCGGTTACCTACTACTGATAACAGACCACCGTCGATTAGGCGAAAACCGCGGTAGGCGAAACGTTTGACGGGAGCTGACGCCGACGTGCGCCCGGCCGTTATCAGTGGTTATCGCAGCACGGCCGTCGGACCGTTCATGACCGGGCGGTCATCGTCGCAAGTAGATTTTATACGCCGTCGGTGACCAGACGTGACCGGACCACGACCTAGGTCCGAGAACGGCGGAACGGTAGGAGGAGGAGGTGGAGGGACGAGCCGGGAAGAGCTGATTTAGCACGAGCAACTTCGAACCGGTCGAACGTGTGTCGTTCGGTTATTTATTTTATATTTTATTTTTGTTATTTACAACGACTTGCAAGTACACCGCGACCATGTAAGAGGTATAGAGGCTTTCCGTTTTCAATTCCCGACCTAACCCAACCAGCGAGTTGTCTCACTTGAGTTACATAATCGCGCGCACGCGGTACAACTGTTGAATATGCATTACGATAATACAACATTTATAGGCTACAACGTTTAAAAAGTAATATCGGTTTGATACTAAAAATACAAATAACGAAGAATCATAAAAAAAAAATTATGGGCAAGTACACTGTCGCGTCGTTGTCCGCAATCAAGGGCGTCCATCCGTATGCGTGGGAATGTCACCTTTTTTGGAAAATTTATTTTTGTCAGATTTGCGGTCCACATAAGCCAAAGGCCCTAAAGAGTGGCCATTGAGTTGCACGTTTTGTAAATAACAACTTAAAAGATGTCAATTATCGTTACGAAGTTATTCTGCTTGTTTGAACTTTTAAGTATAATTTATTGAACGGTACGTCAATTAATTGGCCGAAATTAATTATGTTTACGAAATCTCCATGTACAGTGGCAAACCTCTGCCTTCGCTCGCTATTGACCAGGAGTAGAAAAGGAGGGGCAAACAGAAGTCGTTCGAGCTAAACTTTTTACTGCCATGTGCCTTAGACGGATTGTGTCTTTGTATCGAGTTTTACTTACTTACGGTTATTTCTTATTATATAGCCGTTTGCCTTCAGTGAAATAAATAATAGCCGGCGTGGTTTTGTCGCAGACAAAGTTAAATAAAACATTTGCTTACAAATGTACACGAATGTATAAAAACGACACTTCAACTCAGCGCACATATATTTTCTTCGTTAAAATAATTAGCTAAAAAAAATCTAAATTAAAAAAATAACATTAAAAATGAAATCGTAAACACTTAAAATGCCATTAAAACGCCTTTAGTGTTTAATTAACTTGGCTATCTATTTAGATAAGACATTATGTAATTTTATGATCGTTCGTAAAAAAAAAACAATGTTTAGCTACAAAAACAAACTGTTTTCCCGTTTATAGCAAAATACATATTATTAACAATAAAAATGTATGTGAAAACTACAATAAACATTTTGTATTTGTTCTAATACATAAAATACCAATTTTAAATAATTATTTTTATTCGGTGTTTTATTAACCCAATAGATTATAATTAAATATATTTGAAACGTTCTTAGCGGGATTAAAAATATTTCCAAGCCAATATTTGCATTATTTGTTATAATTTTTTGACGGTTATATCTATACACACTGTAATGTGAGCACAGTGCAACTGTTATTAAATTGTATTAAATAATTGAAACTGAATAGAATAATGCGATCCGCCTTCTTTTGAAATTGGCAAATTGTCACAAAATATCTAAAAGTTATTTCCTACTTATATTCTAAATTTATTTAAATTTCCAAAAATTATCCACATAATACTATAATTATCAATTTTTTAGAAAACATTTTTAAAAAATAATTATTCCACAGCTAATATAAAATGTTGGCATACTTATAGACAATGTTGTGAAGTCTCTGAACACACATTTTTAAGTACCTATTTAATGTTGCTTACGGATTAATTATTCATTAGTATATAAAAACATGCTAATGGATCTGATTATTTTTTTAACGCTGTCAACATCTGATATCAATGTTTTTTATTATAATTACTAAAAATACACGATTGTAGAACCATAAATTAACAATGACGTAATAAAATGATAATAATAGTTTAACATCACAAATAATAGGTACAATTATAGATATTATAAGTAAGTTACTGGGCATACAACAATAAGTAATAAATAATAATTAACTTTGGTGTAGTTTATGAATGAATCTAAATGTATGTTTTAGGGTTCGTTAACTCGTGAAAATAATAATTCATATTTCATAGTTTATCTCTTGGTTAGACAATATGGTTGTTGTATATTTTTATAATATAAAACAACTTTGTTGACATCCGGAAGTTCAATATGCGTTCTCTATAATCTATTTATAGATTTCTTACTCAATTTTTGAGCAAAATTACTTGAATAGGACTTTAAACTAGCCTATGTGTATTCGGGTTCCCACCGAGCAACGGACGTACTCGTAAAACACATTTACCTTACATCAGCCAACAATTAGTTGTTATTATTCAATGTTTATGTGTTTTAGGCCACAGTCCACGTACGTTTTGTACCTTACCTTAAAATTATTTTACTGTTATAGTACTATATGAGCGTAAACATTTCTAAGTGGTCTGTTCATAAAATATGAGAATGTTATTTAAATATACAAAACATGGTTATCAAGTTACAATTTTGGCAACTGTATTTTTAATTGAAAATTATGTTGCGTTTTAACAAGAGTATACCTAATATTATAAGTTCTCTGTGCTATTAACACATAACTTTCAAATCGATTTTAGTGAAGAACGGTTAAAAACCTAATTAAGTAAACAGTAAACTGAATAAACGAGTTTATAGATTAGTATAATTATTTTATTACTAGGTACTTAACATCTGTAGCCTATGCTTTATAGGTTATATAATATCCACAAAATTTCACATATTGTGTACGCTGATATTTTAGTTGGTGTACTGAAACATTTCAAAAATAAAAATAAAATGTAAATCACTACAGTTTTTAAATACAAATTTAACATGGTCGTTATTATGAACGCCTACCTTTTAAACCTTTTTTTTGAATGACAAGATTGAGCACGTTGAATTTTTTAATCTTATACAACGACGTCGAACTTATATACACGATCTATCGTTTAAAAAAACTGGTCTTAAAAATATATAAAAAGAACTCTCCAATTGACAATTCGAGCTCTCAAATAGCTTTAATTAGGTACTAATGGCTGTTTGCACAGGCTATACTTACAGTTTAAGGACAGCCTAACAATACTCAAACCATAGGTTTTATAGCTTTATTTTGATTTATATAAATATATATATATATACTTTTTTTACATAACTATTTATGAATATCTGTAATATTTTTATTATTTTTTGGCGATCTATGAATATTAGGGAGCCCGCTTGTTTTTTTATTAAAATAATAAATTAAAATATATACATAATAATGGTGCAAGCATAAGCGCATTAAACTAATAAAGTTTTGTAAGACAGTTGTTTATGCATGGACCATAGTCCATAAAGATAGTGAAATGCTTTTAGTATGTCTAACAAATAAACAACAGAAGAAAATCATCATACATGTTTTTGGTACGGTGTCATTTTTTTACTGACAGTTATTTCAATATGTAATTTTGTTTTGTTTTGCAAATGTAAGTTGTTAATAAGCTGGAGACACCCATCTAATTTAATAATTGGTAACTGAACAAAACTACAACCATAATAATATGCCTTATCAAATGATGAAGTATACTATAGTTGATTTGAGGACAGAATTTATAAGCTTAAATAACTATAAATCAAACCTTTTTTGTGGGTCATTCTTTCTTAAGTGGATAAATTGCGGATCTATAATACTTAGTACTATTTATTATGTGCTCATTGTGTTAAGAAATCCAATTAAGATAAATCGAGTAATCCTAATGCTTATCACTAAGTGTAATAACTAATTCGCAATTTGTATTATTGAATGTACGTATATGAAATAATGTTTGGATTGTACTCAAATATGGACTATGACACAATTACAACATAATTGAATATATAATGTAGAATTCTGATGGAAAATTGTTGTCTATATTAAAAAAAGTAATATTATATCCTACTAGCTTAATGTATAATCATAGGCAAGTTTCTACTATCATCTTTATTATTGTACGCATAATGTGTTCAATAAATGTAAGTTTTAGTATGCACACCACATTTTCTAGTCATGCGTATAAAATGAGTTACGAAAAAAATAAATTATAACTTTAAAATACATTCCAAAATAATAAATAGAAACCCACAGTTAATTTGAAATTGCTTTTATCGGCTAAAACTTAAATAAAATCAAACTATTAATAGTTACTACTCTGATAGTAACTAACTCGCTTAAGTATACTCTAGGATGTCACTCCTTAATCAGACCCACGTCTAATTGTGAGAGCGCTGTATAAAGTTAGCAGCAATATTAGCTGAAGCTGACGGTAACAAAAATTTGGATACATGTTATAGCATGTATCCAAATTTTCAAACTGATATGTTAAAAACAGAATAAGAATTTGAATTTGAATGTTTGTTTGGTTCATCCTGATTCCTGAAAAGTTGCAAGAAACGAGATACGACCCTTTTCGTTGGGGCAGTCGGTATACACATGTGTATTAAGACTATACTATCGTCTTAAATCGCAAGGATATTATAGATCAGAAATAATCACTATTCAGGCGCCAGCAGGCTAAAGCATGTGCTATGTTCTATCATTTTAGCCGTTAGACTTTAAGTGGACTGTAACTTAAATATATTTTAAGCATACATTCTTACGCGTCAAAAATAATACCTTTTATAGAAAAAAAAAATGTCTCGCTTGAATCATATAACACTAACATAGGGCATTCCATCTGAATGACATAAATATAAGGAATAAATTGTAACAAATACAAAATGATTAGGACTAACAAAATGTATCATCAGGTAACACATTATTCAAGTAAAAGTAATTCGAATAAATTGTGCAAAAATAAATCTATTAACGTTTTATTCGAACAAGAATTTGAACAACTCTGATCAGGCCCGGTTATGCCGGCCCTAGGCCCCTAAGTGCTGTGCGTCCAGTGTCTACATTCGGTGAATTCGGCCTTGGATATTTCTTTATAATCTATTATCTACTCAAATGCTTTTCTACACATTTTTTTTTATCGTTTGAGAAC